GGAGTTGGAGGTTGCTGTGAGCTGTGATGCCACGGTACTCTACCCAGGGGGATAGCCTGAGGCTCTGTCTCAAAAAAAAAAAAAAGAAAAGAAAAGAAAACTGAATAAACAAATATAACGTGGTTAAATGGTAATATCTGTTCTAAGGTACAGACCTCTCAAATAACAGTGTGTTACCTATCATGCCAACAGAGTACTATATATTACATGCTGAGTGGAAATATGAAGTAGAAATGCCTGGTCACATTAATGTTCTGAGTACGTATTCCAAGACCATTTATAATGGTAATCCTGTAAGGACAGCAAAACACCCTGGTTATCTGGGGGGAAAGGTGGGATTCAGAGATCTGATAAACTTCATTCATGCATTCAGACAAACATATCTCATGGCAGGTACTGTGCAAGATCCCAGGAATATCTTGGTGAAAAAAAAATAGACATGGCGCTCACAATCTAATTGGAGAGATGAACACCAACAAAATGGGAAAGGCTTTGCTTGAGAGCCAGTGTAACTGGGGTCTAAGCCGGTTGGAGGCTGGCCCACCTTCTGGGAGGCACTATTACTAGGTATCAGGTAGGATGTGGTGAGGACTTCATGTGGGGTTAAAACACCAGTTTCAAAAGAGTTCTGCTTCTGGTATACTGCCTGAGACTAAGCCTCCAAATGATAATAACTATAAACTCTGGTCAAAATGCAAGAAAGATTTTTATTAGTATTTAAAAACAGGTAGATTGTGTACTGCGTTAGAAACTTGGTGCACTGAGCAGCCCTAAAACCCACAGAGCTGCCACTTCACTTCCTACATGTCCAGGAAGGGCATGGAGAGCTCCACATCCCCGGGGCTTCTGAACCTGACATCAGCCCACTAGATTTGGTGTCCTGGCAGCCCTAGAATCTACTGAGCAGCTGGGAGAACAATGAGCTGCTGTCTTGCTTCTGGCAGGTTCTGGAAGGGGCATGGAGCATGCCACATGCTGGGGCATCTGAATTTGGTATCAGCCTGCTGGATCTAAATGTCCCTAAAACCGTGATGAGCAGGCAGATGGGATAGTAAGTTGCTGCTTCACTTTGGCAGGTCCTGGAAGGAGTGTGGTGAGCTCTATGTCCTGGGGCCTCTGAAACTGACATCAACCCTTGTATTGGGCACCCAAGTGGCCTTAAACTCTGCTGAAGGGCCCGTGGAGCAGTAAGTGGCTACTTCGCTTCAGTAGGTCCTGGAAGAGGCATGGAAGCTCCTTCTGGGGTCTCTGAAACTGACAAGATTTGGCAGCCAAGTAGCCCTAATACCTGCTGACTTACCAGTAGAACACGGAGCTGCTACCTCACCCTGCAAGTCCTAGAAGGGACATGCAAAGAGCTCTGCATTCTGGGGAGCCAGTGCTGACATCAGACTGCCAGACTGGGCATCCAAATAGCACTATAGATAAATAGCCCTATAGCCAGCAGATAAGTGAGCCACTTGGTTGGCCCAGACTGTGCCCTATAAGTCCTATCTCCTGTGAGCTAGTTAAGTGAATACAACTGGAATATTTCTCAACTACCATTCAGAAACACTCTGACCTTTTATCTTAGAGTGAAAAAAATAGATACCACACATGGGGAAGATTCAGTCAAAGAATACTGGCAACATGAAAAAATCAGGGTAGATCAACTCCCCCAAGGGATTACAGTGGAGCTACAGCAGGAAGTTCCATTCATAAAGAAATTATTGAAAGGACAGAAATAGAATTCAGAATATGGCAAATAAGATGAACAGTATTCAAGAGAAATAAAGCAAAAAGAAATTCAAAAATTATCTCAAGAAATCCTCAAAATTAAAGACAAAGTCACTAAGGATCTAGACATAACTAGGAAGTATATAAGGGAGCCTAAAGAATTGAAAGAATCATTCAGTGAGTTTCAAAACACAGCAGAGATTTTCAGCAACAGATTAAATCCTGGAGAAGAAAAAATCTTGAAACTCAAGGACCAGACTTTTGATTAAGCCAATCATTTGCAGAGGCAGAAAAGAGGAGAGCAAAAGCAGAGCAATCTCTTAGAGAGATATTGGAAAATGCAAAGCACACAAACATATGAATCATGTGTATCTCTAAAGGAGAAGAAAAGAGTCCCAAAAGAATGGAAGTTCTAGCTGAAGACATTATAGTTGAAACTTCTCAAGCATTGCTGGAGACCCAGAAATACAGTTACTAAATGGCTACTGAACTTCAGAATGACTCAGTTCAAACAAAACATCTCCTAGACACTTTGCAATTAGCTTAGCCAAAGGCAAAATGAAAGAGAAAATTCTACAAGCTGCCAGGTGTCAGCAGCACCTAACCTACAGGAGCAAATGCATCAGGTTAACAGCTGACTTCTCAG